TATGAATATGTTTTCTCATCTGAATCAGTATATGATTATTAAAAACACAAAACAAATATGCAAGTCTGTATGCTATTCATATGTGGATAACATATAAAAATTATATATATATTCGTCAAAATAACTAAAGAAGAAATATAAAGTCTCAAGAAACAATTAGCAACAAAGTTTGAAATGAAAAATCTAGGAGGACTTAAATATTTCTTAGGAATTGAAGTCATGAGATCAAAGCAAGGTATATTCATTTCTCAACAAAAATATATTCTAGAGTTATTATCAGAGGTTGGGCTACTTGACTGCAAGCCAATAGATACACCAATCGTTCAAAATCATAAACTTGGAGAATACCCGGATCAAGTCCCGAAAAATAAAGAATGATATCAAATATTAGTTGGGAAATTGACATATCTTTCTCACACGCGTCCAAATATTACATTTGATGTGAGCGTTGTAAGCCAATTTATGTATCATCCAAGTAAAGATCATATGAATGCTGTAATTCAGATTCTTCGATACTTGAAATCTTCTCCTATAAAGGGAATATAGTTCTCAAAGAATAACCAAACAAGGATAGAAGGATATATAGATGCAGATTGGGCAGGAAAAACTTCTGGAAGATAGTCTACCTTTGGTTACTTCACATTTTTTGGTGGAAATCTTGTTACATGGAGAAGTAAAAAACAAAAGGTTGTGGCATTGTCAAGTGTAGAAGCGTAATTTCGTGGGATAGCTAAAGGGTTATGTGAACTGTTATGGCTAAAAAGATTGTTAAGTGAACTTGGATTTGCTCCTACACATGAGATGGACTTATTTTGTGATAATAAAGTTGTTATTAGTGTTGTACATAATCCAGTACAACATGACAGAACAAAACATGTAGAGGTGGATCGCCACTTTATTAAACATAATCCTGACGATAGAGTAATCTAATTTACTTTTGTTAAATCTAAAGATCAGTTGGCAGACATTCTCACAAAAGCTATATGCAGCAAAAGTATTTACAACTGACTTGACAAACTGAGTGTCCGTGAATTGCACACACCAATTTGAGGGGGAATGTTGGCATGAGCTGTCATTAGAGTATTTTAGAAACCAATTCTTTTATGTAAAATCGTTGATTATAGGAGTAAATTAGCCTCTAAATTAGCTTCTGTCCTTTTTTAGCTTCTTATGTTCCTCTATAAAGTTTTTCCTTCTTGTTATGAATTTAAATTGATATGAAATACAGAAATACACTTCTTATCATCTCCACCCACATCCCACATCTTTACATCATCTTTCAGAGTCCTTGACAAAAGACGGAGATTATTGTGGATGTAAACCAAGTCTTAAGCACGACTTGTAGTCAACTTGTTCCTTTTGAATGAATAAATGCATAAGTACTCTAAGTACGATCAACAAAAGAAGAAGAACTAGGTTGTCCAAGAAATCTAAAAGCCAAAGTCCGGAGAAAAGGTGTTTGAGCACCAAAGTTAACCCACCAGTTCTTGGGTTCCATGGTAGTCATCTTTGAAATGCTTGTTAAATCTTCAAAATGACCATTCTTCATCGAAAACATTTCATCATTTCTTGTGAAATTTCTCCATCCCTACGTGGAGCACATCTTGTAGAATCCTCCATTAACCATGCATCACTATAATATCTACAACATCAACAAGTTAAAACATAAATATATAATAGAAATCAAGTGTATAATTTAAAATCTGATACCTTAAATGTAAAGAGTGAGCTAAACAATGTAGGGGAGTATTATTCTATGCCCATTGAGCCACTAAAATACGATGCACAACGTCATAAAAACAACTTATTTGAGATGTCGAACATTTTTCTTTCTTGTAGATCTCAATCTTCACTTTCTCAATCATAGAATCCCACATCTCATACACCAAGTGTAAACATGGCTTGTCAGTGTCACAAGCTCTAATCATCTCATATATAGGTTTAGTGAATCTAAGAATATATGCTACTTTGTCCCACCAATCATCATTCAATATATATATTCTTTCACAGAGTTTGCTTTCTCAATGTCATCTAATCTATAAGAAGACCATTCTTCTCTTATGACCATAGCTTAAAGACAATGGTGGAGGGAAAGCGAGTTTCAGCAACAAAAAGCAACCTAAGAGGAGTAAACTTGGTGAAAATCGAGAATCTCATGTTATGGTTCATGATGAAATTTTTTTATTGCAAACACATCTTCATGAATCTCTTTTATCCAGCTACATTGTTCATAGGTTAGTTCATTTGTTTCCACATTTCTTGGTGAGCAAATGTTCTTCAAAGCAAGATTAAGTGTATGAACAACACATGGTATCCAATAGATGTGAGGAAATTGACTCTCTATAATCTCTCCAACCGCCTTACAATTTACTGCATTGTCAGTAATGATTTGCATAACATTTTCATGACCAATTTCATTGATAACTTCTTTAATCAATTCAGGAATAAAAAATATATATTTCACTTCCCCAAAACAATTCATTGCTTTTAGAAACAAAGGACCATTACCTGAGGTAGCCATGAAATTGATTAGAGGTTCTCTTGTTGGATCACTCCAACCATCACTCACAATAGTCACACCTTTTTCTTTCCATGTAGACTTAAGTGGCTCCATTAGCTTGTGAACATTATCTCTTTGTTTTTGCAGTAATGTTGTTCTTAGTTTATTATAACCAAGAGATACAAACCATCAATTTTGTTGTTAGCAGCAAACTGAAAAGCCCTGACATAGTGTGGATTTCTTTTAAGATTAAAAGGTAAACCTCTGATATAAAACATTCTAACTATTTCTTGATCCAGTTAGTCCCTAATTTCAACACCAAAAGCTCTTTCAATAGGTGTTGAAATACCTTATCTTTTCTTATATCCAACATCAGCTTCACGTGGCAATTGAACTTCTTTCTTTTTTGAATCAATTTCTTCTTTTCATATGCATCTTCTAATTGGTTCATATTAAGTTTGTCAGCCGCTTTTGCTTTCTTTCAAATAGAAATCCCAGTATCTATATTCAATTAAAACAACATGATTTTAAGAACACACAAAATAAGATCCAAAATCATTAGCAAAATCATGATTTCAAGAACACACACAATAACATTGACATTCTCAATTCAATAACATGAAAAAAAAAATAAGTTCATCATTAACATTATCAATTCAATTACATTAATCAAAATAAGAAAGTGAATCAAAACAAAAATTACAACCTCTTATTTCTCTATAAATGTTCATGAATCAATAGTTTAATACAATAACATGAATCAAAAATCACAACAAATAAATAATTTAAAACAAAAATCCCAACCTCTTATTTCTTTACAATTGTTCATGAGTCAATATTTCAATACAATAACATGAATAAAAAATTGCAACAAATACATGAATCAAAACAAAATTCGCAGCCATTTATTTCTTAACAATTGTTCATGAATAAATACAATCAGTAAATAACAATATAACATGAATAAAAATCTAAAACTACATAAGCACACACTCTAAATTGAATACTAGATTACCTTTTATACAAAGCAAATGTGCTCTAACTCTAGAATATGATCCTTGTCGGGTTTCCCTGCAAAGATTACACTTGAACTTCCAACATCCTCCTGCTTCAGCAAGTTTTTCGATTTTAGTCACGTAGTCCCACAATGAAGGTTGGTCTATTGATGTACTTGATCCTTGTGTTTCTTGTTCTTGAGAACTAGAAACCATAATAATCGATTTCTGAATTGGTGAGTGCTCAATTGATCTTGATTGTCGACCGTCAAGTGCACAAGCAACCAAGCGGTAAACGATATCGAGTCGATTAAAATTAACCAAGGACTTAGGGAGGCATCGATAGTTAATTGATTGATAGTTGTGGGGTAATCTCGATAGCCCATTACTCCATTACCCTATTTGGACTAAAAAAAACCCATGCAAAAAATAAAAATAAAAGGAAACGTGATTGAAACTTATCCGATATGTTTCTTGATTCGCTGATACATTCAGGAAACGTTCCCTGGCGTTTCCGTTTCCTCCAAGTATCAGATACGAGTACGGCTCCCTAAATGTTGTTTCCATGCGTCATAAGTGTGAATGGCAAAAGAAGCAGGATATATAATCAATGAATCAAAATCATCACGTCCTAAACACAAGACATTTGGCAAAAATTATCGAATTAAAAAGGAAACACAACCAAAAAGAGTAGCATGGAGGGAAAAAACTTAGGTTTACCTGAAGTTGTCGGAGAGATGACCATCAATTTATGATTCTCTGATCTTTCATAACGGTATATGTGTTTTTGCAGAGATAGAGCCATGAATAGAAGCGATTGAGGTAATATATGGAGTCGACTAAACCTTAGTAAATGCAATTCAAATTTGAAAATGATTTTGCTTCCTAATTTCTTTCGATTTGATAGCTATTTTATTGTTTTTTTTTTTTTTTTTGTTTTGATATTTCTTGATAGAGAAAACCAAGATAAACCAAATTTGAAATTAATTTTGCTTCCTGATTTCTTGCGACCCTCCTTGTTCGTCCCACCGATTTTAATGGGCATGGCGTTTATACAAGGACAAAGTTATAATAGGAAAATCACTTTGATAATATAGGAAATAAGCTGGAGGGTTGCTGAAAAGTTGTCTCGTGGACATTACTTTAAAGGTAGTCTTTTATTAGAGTAGAGAAATTTTACCAATTAACATGAACTAACCAGTTATAAGGATTGAATGTACAGTTTAACAAGCTGAAAGTGTAAATGTGGTGGAAAAAAAACTCTGTGACTAACTATCTACTAATCAAAATATATATTATTCTTTTTAAGTCCGAAATATTTAACCAATATACATTATATTTTGTCTTTATAAAAATATGGTAGATGTTAAATCACGCATTCAACAAAGCGACAAATTGACAATGATCTTGTATACTAATAAAAACATTTATGCGAAAAAGACTGGACATAACACAGCCAAAAAAAAAAAAAAAAAAAAAAAAAAAAGTTACTGGAGAAAAAAAGATCAAGTTGGCAACTCATTACCCAAACTAATGTTCCCGTTCCCCCACAGCCAATGCGTTTCATCCTTGTCGTCAAACGGTTTAAAAATGTAAAACATCACCAGAGACAAAAAAAGAACGCAGGTTTCCTCTGTCGTATTAACCACCCATGGGAGAAATTCAAAGGGATCCAGAGCCATACGAAAAAACCATGTAATGAAGGTGTATCCCAAAACCACACCACCAAACATATAATAAGCAGTCTTAGCATTCCCATGAATCATACTAACCGAACACGCCATGGGTAGAGTAACAACAAAGCTACAAATAAACTCTGCAAAAATGAACGATACGGCCCAATGCACCTTGTCTTTAATACTATAAGGTCGGGTTTCCTCTACATTTATATTAGAGACATTAGCCCAAACCTGAAGTAGGATCACAATCATCAAAACAAATAGTTCCAATGCATGCAAACGAGGCTTGAAGAAACCCCATCCGAAACCCGTCAACACGATCACCGTAAATAGAAGCTCAAATCTCATAAACTGAAATACGTAAACAAAGACATCCCATCCATGAGAAGTACCTGTAAACTTCACATAATGTTGGTCCAGGGCCACAATGACAAAGTTAAGGAACGATATAACAAGAAACACACCCATTAATACATGAACCATGTGAAGAGATCGCCAGTACTTGAAGCAAACCAAGATCCATATCCCTAGAAAACACAGATAGGAGAAAGAGAAGATAAGAGATGCATGCTGCGTTTGGCCGGCTGATAAATAGTTTTTGGTAGTGCCGTCGTCATTGGTGTTGTAGAGTTCTGTGTGGACATCCATGCTCACGCAGGAGAGGTTGCAATTAACAAAGTAGAGTGAACACACACTTGGATATGTCACATGGTACGATATGTTGAAAGAAGACTGAGGAGGAGAGGAGAGATCTTGGAAAGTAAAGAGGACTTTGATGAATTTGTTGTCCAATGGGCACAAAGCGTGGTTTCTTTGGAATTCTTGGTTGTATTCGTCGATCAAGTCATGCGAAAGAAGCATGAAACCCAAACGTGAAGGATCAGGTTGTGGTAAGGGGAACGGGGAGGTGACAGACACGGAGGAGACCGCGACTGAGACGTAACCGGGATGTGAGAATCCGAATTTCGAGAATAGGATCTTACCACGTTTATCGGATCGAATCTTCATATTTTGGATATCTTCCGTAGATGGTGCAGGGAAGAGGATGAAGAGAAAGAGAATAACATTAAGAATTTTTCCCAAAATCGCCATTTTTTATTCGCCGATGGTGGCTGTCGGCGTTACTAGGGAAAAGGTGAGAGTACCAGCCTACCAGGATGACAAAGCAAGGTTTTACTCGGTGAAAGTGAGGGATAAATTAAATAGGATGAGAAAATGAGGAATCAAGATGGAATGGACGTTTAAATTTAAAAGTAGGAGATCAGAGATAGAGATAAACGATTCCATAGGACCATATAATCCCGATCTCCCTGGGATTAATATGGAATATGGATATTTCTTATCTTCAACTTCAAGATTAAAATTGAATACAAGTTTAAGAAAATAAATAAATAAAAAATAAAATAAAATAAAAAAATAAAAATAAATAAAAATAAAAAAAAAAAAAAAAAAAACTACACAAAGTTGAAAATTGGTGGACAAGTTGAGTTTCTGACCTTAAATTTCAGTTTTGGAAAGTGAAAAATGCTATATATTATAAGAATAAATGCTAGACCAAAAAAAAAAATCTATTTCACTTTTGAATTTGATTTTGAAACATTTATTTCCCAAAATCATAGTTAACCAACATATTATTGTTCCATTTTTCAGCATCGTATGACTTTGTTGATTATTTCAATATGAATTATTGTGGTTATATGTTTTTTCATAGTGATAAATTTGTGATAAATTTGTGAGAATGTATTTTATAAAAATATTTGGTAATTGATAACTGAAAGTTGTATTTTCATACAGTCAACGACATTTTTTTGTTTAAATCAAATTTTTTTTGTTAAAAGTTAGACGTTAGAAGCTTTCAAGCATTCACGATGAAACACGCCCTAACTATTTTATTGAAATTTTAAATGGGAAATTCTATACGTACTTCCGCCTCCCCCTCCAAATTGCTTTATGTAGCCCCCTTTGTAAATGTAATAATGTTTGTGTATCTCCCTCATTATGTGACTATTTATGTGAGTGAGAGTACGTATAGCAACATCCTATTTAAATTTTCCCATGCGTAAAACATCTATACGATCTTATTTTTATGGTTAATTACTATTTACTTGACATTTATCAAGGTTGTTAAAATCGTGTTCTTGCTTGCATAATTGTACGATCATACGATCCCAACTAGGTAAATTGATCATGATTTTACTTGTATTATTAAGATCGTTGTAAGATCATAGGATCTATCATAAGATCGTTGGATCGTTATTATTATTTTTTTAATTTATAATATTATTTATTGAACTAATTACATAGAATATCCATTTTGAATTCTTTTTCATTAAATGATGTATTTCGATATGTATTTTTTTATGTTTTAAAATATGTAATATTAACTGAATAGTTAATTGATTGATGAAAACGTATTATTTATGTTTTAAGCTGATTTAAGTAGGATCTTACGATCCGATTCAATCTTGCGATCACGATCTTCAAAAGTAGAAAATAATCATATATAAAAAGTCGATCTTGACAACTTTGATATTTATTATCACCCACTGTTGAATTAGGTGTCTAAGTTCATAACTATTTTGCTATGTACTTGACCCAACTACGAGCATGGTCCTTTTGGGTTGCCTTCACCATAGCAACTGATAGGATGAACTAAGAAGAAAGAGGAATAATTATGATTTATTAATATAATATGTGAATAATATACTAAAAGAGAAATCATATTGTTTAATTAATATTAGTCAAGAATTAATTAAGAACTAGTTTTGTGCCTAAAAGAGATTAATTAAATAAATGAGACTGATATTGTAATTATAAGATAGTTGCATAAATGGCCAATAGACTCCATAGAAGTTGGAGTGGACGAAATCTATGGGGAAACCCATTAGAATTCGTCCAATGCTTCTAAGGAGGGAGTCCATGGGCTGCTTGGAGCTTAAGCAGTCTAATTAGGGTTTCCTTGTTTGATAACCATAATAGCCTAACTATATAAGGAACCCCTACGGCCCCAAAAACGTATGGAAGTAATTCCTAAGGGTTCTTGGATGTTTTTGTGCCTCCTCCTACTTCTCCTAAGTTATCTTGTTGCTCATGGTGTTTGTGATTCCATTAGAGGTGCAACATTTGAGGCACTAAGCTTTCAAGTGTCAAGATCACGGAGATGTGTGATTGTTATTGCTACATAACAATCAAGGTAAGATCTAAACCCTAATTCATATATTGATTTGATTTTTGTATACTAGATCTAGGATTTATGAGCTTTGGATAAGGGTGTTTTGAGGGGTGTATGGCCACACATGGGTGTACGACCGTACACCCCTCATGATCATAAATTATGGGCAGTTTTAATGTGTTAATCTAGTGTTCTAACAAGATCTAAGCATATGGAAAGAGTACGTATGTTATGGAGGCTCAAAAAGGCTTACAATCACCAAGAACAAGTGTGTGTTCTTGATGTTCTTGGTGACTTGGTTGAAGATTTAAAGATCTAGCCAAAAGATGATTTCCATAGATGAAATCAAAGTGTGCTACTTGTAACACCGTAATTTTTCAAACAAATTTTTTGAAAATTAAAATAGTTTATCTCTTTAACGCTTTTCATAAAAATCCCATTTGTTTAAGTTACAAAACATAACTCTTTTGTTTAATCAATTAATAAACCAGGATCCTCAAACATACGCTTCCCCCGGTGTGTACAATCGAGCCGGTGCCGTCCCATGAACCTGAGAAACCTGAAACACATAACACAAAACACTGTAAGCACGAAGCTTAGTGAGTTCCCCAAAATACCACTCTAACACATATTAGCCACTCGAGGCTATAACTCTATGGGTCCGTGCACCCAAACTCTATGAACCCTCAGGTTCTGACTCTATGGACCCAAAGATCCTAACTCTGAAAACTCAAAATCATGCATATCACATATCACAATAAATCTCAAAATATAAATAGCATACAATTACATTAGCACATAACTCTAAACCTAACTCTGTGGACCCTCTGGTCCTAGCTCTACACACAGCATAAATCACATAGAAATAATGCAGTGCCACACATCGCATAGATATCATACAATAACTCTGTCACATAACTCTATTACCACTCTAGGTAAAGTATAGTGTGAAGACTCACCTGTTACTGCCGACTGAAGAATAAGATCATGCTGCTCCAACCACCGTCACGAACTCTACCACTGAATCACCAAAACCAATAAATACCAATAACAACCAAAACATCCCTGGAAGTCAACTGGTCAACTCTTGGTCAAAGTCAAAGTCCTCAGTTAAAGCCAACCCTCCTAACTGACTCTACTCGTCGAGTCAACCTGTTGACTCATCGAGTCCCCATGCTCTGAAACTCCCATAACACAACTCAACTCGCCGAGTCGCCCCAAGACTCGCCGAGTCCCACAACCCTGAGTCAAACCGTACTCAACTCACTGAGTCATCCCTTGACTCACCGATTCTCAACTTAACCAGAAAAGGTTAGGACGTCAAGACCAGACTCATCGAGTCTAAGAACAGACTTGCCGAGTCCAAGGCTATCTTCAACCAACTCGCCGAGTTGTTCTTCCAACTCGCCGAGTTTCTTCCTATCTTCATGCAATTCGTCGAGTACACCCATCTGACTCGCCGAGTATCACTAGCTCTTAACCCATATAGAGGCTTTCCAAGCTATGCAGGGTCTCCAATCCATAGATCTACTCTTATACAAGCCATCCATCACATAAAGTGGCAAACTTTACGTGAATCCAAGGAGATCTAAGCATAATACACTCTTGGGCTAAGGTTTGGGGCTAAAAGACTTCATCAACATCTCTTGAACAGGGACTTTATGCTCTTTTGGATCATCACTATTCTAGATCTGAGGTAGCAACCTTAGATCTAACCTCCAAACTCAAGATAGCACTAGATATACACCCAAAAATCCCACAAATGATAGATCTAGATGGATAAAAGCTCAAGAACAGATCTCTTACCTCCAATGCAACCTCTTACTGGAGAATGAACCAAATCTCTGCAAACCCCTTGCTCCAAATCTTCTTGATCTTCAATTCCCCTACAAGATGTCCTCCTCCAAGGCTCTAATCACTAACAAAGGAAAGCTCACACAAATCTAGGGCCTCTGGAACTCAAAGGGAAGGTAAAGAGGCTGGGGAGTGGGTATTATGTTCTTTATATAGGGCTCAACCCCCGGGATCAGGGTTTTCTCCATACAGCACCAACTCGCCGAGTCCACCCATGCAACTCGCCGAGTTGGTCACTTATCACGCGACCTGAAACGCGACTCGACTCGCCGAGTCTATCCATAGACTCGCCGAGTCGACCTTCTTATTTACACTTTTAGCCCTTCAACTTTACTTCTGCATTTCCTGGATGTTACAATTCTCCCCCACTTAAATTAGGCTTCGTCCTCGAAGCCTGCTGCAGCACACAATTCCTATAACCATAACCCGACACTGCAACCTCGGATCTCTACTGACCCAGATCCTTCCAAACACCGATATCATCCCAAAAATGATCTAACTCCTTGCTTACTGATTCATATCAACTGTCTCAAGCCGACCACCGGCTCTTTCCTCAGATAGAGACACTTATCACTCTTGATCTCCATATACACTTGCCTCTCGCAAGACTAGATAATACCCTGAACCATCGAGTTTTGACCGGGTATTCACTGATACCTACTGCTATCCCTTGCCTCGATTAACACAACCTTATCGGGTTCACTACTGGAACTTATCTCTCTTCCTTTTTGAATTCGATTGTACTCCTTTTCATGCTAACAAGATGATACATCCTTCAGCTCTTGAACAACTCTCCTGAGCTCTCCTCTGCAATCGCATACACATGCTAAGCCTACTCTACATCCTCGGGTTGGAAAAACCCGACATACTGACAAAACCATCAGACATCCCCAGGATGAATTACCACTATATACATAACCTCCTAATCACAACCATACTTAAATCCAAGGCTCTATCCTTGCATTTCTTCCGAAGTCCTCTGGTTCTAAACCACCGGAGATTCTTCCGCAACCTCAACAGACACCCAACCCGAATGCGTTTCCATACCACTGGCACTGACACAGTG